GGTAGTTTCTGATATACAATCATTCAATCCACACATCCATCTATTTACCAACTACCTACATACCTACCTATTTATCTATCTGGGACACTAAATCAAAGTTAAATTTATAAAAATCAGAAACCTTGCCTATCTTCACTCTCAGAGGGGGGCACTTTAGACAGAACACTTTGTTTAACAGCATTTAGCAATTTAGTCAAATCAGTGGTCAGGGAGGGTATTTCTTGAAGGTATGGCAGATTAAATACTGGACAATAATTTGTTTAATCAAAGCATCTGCCTAGAGTTTTTGTTTCATCATGCAAATAATTGTTTTTAAAAGGATCATAATAAGCTTTGTATAAATCAGTTCTTATGTATGAGAGAAATGAGGGGGGAGATATTTAATCTGATAGAGTCCAGAACAAGAATGACTCAAGTAGGGTCATCATTTATTATATCAATCACACGAGCTTGTCAATCAGCTAATTATGAAGTATGGCCCTCAAATCATGAAGCAAAGGTGAGGGAGAGGTGAATAATGCGTTTGAAAGCTATTAAATGTCCCATGAGATAGCATGTCCCAAATGAAGAGATAGACCTGATACTTCAAAAGGTCAAAGCCACGCAAATATTGATAAAGCTGTTATACCTCCTTATAACCAGAATATAATTATTTTAAAATAAAAAATTTATCCTACACTAATGACCTTTTCTATAATCCTTTCTGTTCTCTTATTATGCTATTCTGTTCTATTGCTCCAAGAAGATAATCGAAACGAAGATTCAAACTCAAGATACCAAACTCATCTCCAAAACATTTCCCTCCACTTTTATTACTATAATTAATATTAATATTATTATTAATCTTATTACTAATTGTATTACTACCCTCCTATGTGCCCATAGTTTAAAAACTCTAAGCTCCCTTTGAATCACTCCTCTCTTGGTCTCTATGACCAAACATCACATTTTAACAACTCTATCTCCTAATATCTTTTCCATATGCACCCCTCTTCCTTCCTCATTTCTGCTGCCTTAGTTCAGGGCCTCATTATCTATAGCCTGAAATAATTTCCTTAATGTCTCTCCCTGCTCCCATCCATCCTAAACAGTGCTGCCAGATTAACTTTCCTGAAGGAAAGCTCTAATCCATCACTTTATTATGTTAAAAAATAGTCAGTGGTTCCCCCATCACCTACAATATAAAGTCCAAACTCCTTAGCCAAGAATTAAAGGGCCTCCATTATCTTAACACAACCTACTTTCTCAATCTTATATCCCATATACATCTTCACCTTAAGTTAGAACCTGAGCTATTGACTGTTTAAAAGCATTCTGCTTGTTCCTTCTCCCTGAAAGTGTCTCTCCCCTCCATTTCTGTCTATATAAACCCTTTCATTCTCAAGATGAGCTAAGGCCTATTTCCCCATAGAACTTTTCCATGGCTTAGTAGGCAGGAGCAATTTGTCTATCCTAAAAACTATCTTAACATTTCATCTATACAGCTCTCATATAAGCTTTGTATTAGACATTGAACTAAAGTTCATTTTGTACATGTCATATCTCTTACTAGAACATAAATTCTTTTAAAGTTAGAGACTATTGTTCATTCATTACAGATGTGTCATGTCATCTAGCACAAGGGTTCTTAGAGGCCCACAGATACCAAGAGACATGGATAGAATTTGGTAGGAAAAAAATTATTTTTCAATAACTTCTAATTGAAAACTTACATTTCCATAGATTATAGATGCAGGAAACAAACCATAGACTATTTTTAGTACCTAGGACATTGTCACCAATAGTTTCACAACTGATATTTTTAGGTCACATTATATTTTACATATATCAAAGTATTTTTCTGCTGTCACTATCTCAAAATTATGAATTGTTAAGCCTCCATTAGATCTTGTTTCAATGCAAGTAGTAAAATAGCACATTCTATCGTATCATAAATTTTTTTAATTATTAATTATTTTAATACAATTCATTTTTACTGTAATTTTATGCATTTAGCTTTATGCATTTAACAACATTCTAAGTTCTATAGCCTTCACCAAACTATCACAGGAATAAAAAGGTAAGATGAGACTCTCAGTTTAAATCCACAACCTTATACAGTAGAAGAAAAACAGGTAGAAACTCTGAGCTCCCTTTAATCACTCCTCCGAGCTCCCTTTGAATCATTCCTCTACTATAGTATTCACAATACTATGTAGTTCTTGATTAGGGCCATTTGAAAAAAAGATATACCAGAAGCTAATGAATATCCAAAGAAGATTATTCCATATAGACAGTTACAGCTATTAGATAGTTGTTCTTAGCAACGATATTCTGGTTCCTTATAACTTCTTGTCACTGATCTGTGTTCTATCTCCAGAAAGCTAGGAAGTATAAACCCAATCCTCCCACCCCACCCCTGCCGTAACTTTAATCTGTTAAGACCCATCATGTCATCCTTGATCTCCTTTTCTCTAAAGTTAATACTATTATTCCTTCAATCGCTCCTCTTATTATCTAATTTTGTCCCTGTGAACATGTCATTGTTCCCTGAGAACAACTTAATGCTTCTGCGTCCCTCTTAAAGCATGATCATTCAGAACTTACCACAGGGCTTCAGATACATTTGTTCAGTGGAACTACCACCTCTTAAATGCTTCACGTTGTACTTCTGGTAATGCTGACTGAGAGAGCACTGGCAGCTGCTATTTATTTTTTCTTCAGTGATTATTTGTATATGGGAGGGACTAGTGATTACAACTTCAGTAGTTTTTGTATGTGGGAGGGATTGGTGGTTACAACTTCTGAACTTGATAGGAAGATCTGTTACATTTTATCTTGATAGGTTGGTTTTCAGTTCATATTCTCAGTTTGTCAAACTGAAAACCTTTTTGGTTTTTGTTTCCTTCATACACGGTATTCACTGTTCCTCCCAGATTTGTGGGATCGGTAAATGTGAAGTACATGCTTTCTATTATTTGCACTGAATATATTATGTACAGTAATGTACACTAAAGATACTTGAATTTCTTATGTCTAAAAAAAATATGCTGGAAAAATAATTAAATATCTGTAAACTACATAGAAAAACATTATTTGCTAGCAAAAATATGGTGATAAAGAACTCCTAAATGAGCGATCTTATCTTACAAGTGTTTCTCTTATACAAAATCAATTATAACACCTGGTAATAAAGAAGAAGAAAATGAAATTAACCATTACTTGCCAAAAAAAATGATTTAAAATTCCCTAGTAATCTAGGAAAAAAGTTAATACAAATCAATTTTATTTTTATATTAAAGAGCATTTTATGGTATTTTGAAAATCAGTTACTTATAGAAGTTAAAAACCATCTTTTTGATGAATCACAATTAAAAGTAATCTAGCAATCTCACTTATTCAAAGATGATTGATCTAGAAAACTCAATTATTCAGAACATAGCCAAGAATGAGAAAAACAGTCTCTGAGAAGCCAGAAGAGTCAGCACAAAGTTCATGCACTAAAGGTCACGTATGTTACCCAGAATCTTCCAGAAACTCATCAAGAACATACTTATTCATACTTTAAATATAGCCCAGAATATTCTGATAATTGAATTTTATAAGCTACAGGTGAATGGAAGAAGCAAATTACAAATTATTTACATGAAGCAAGCAATAACAGCCTATAACCTGATATTTTAGAAGCAGAAACCAACACTTACACCAAAAAAAAATATATATATACATACACTAAATATATTTTATGTAGACACAAGAACTCTAAAGTTTCATAATTACAGAGAAATGACCATAAAATGAAATTGTCCCTAATTATCTCAATGATCTCTAGGGACATCATTACATTATAGCATGATAAAATAATTGACATTTATAGTGAAATAATCTTCATAACACCTCAATTTACATAGTTTATAAAAGACATTATGTTCATTACTATAGTTAAGTCTCAAAATGTTTGAGTTGCCAAGTCAGGGAATAGTACCATCCCAAATTTTAACTTTTGTGGCTCAGGGAGATTGAAGAACTTACCCAGGGTCACATAATTGTTAGACAGATATTAGGAGTTCTAGTCTATTGCATCCTGAGTCATCAGAAAATATCTACATTTAATGCCATATCATCTGGTTAGTAAAACAGGGAAGCATACTTTAGAAAGACTTCTACAAAAATTAATTGGGTACTTTTAAACTTTTGAGCCCTTAAAGGAATAAAATTAAGTTACATGAAAAATTCCCTTATATCTAATCTCAATTTTTCTATAGTGTCACAGAGGTCTGAGTTTAACTTACAATCCTAGTAATAAACCCAGAGCTATTAATTACCCTACATTTTAAGTTCTAAAATCTATACATAGAAAATGAAAGAGCATACATAAGTACAACATTACTTAGACTTGATTTATCATTTTTAAAAATATTACTAGAAAATCTTGTCTTTCCTTTCTATTTTCTATGCTCCAGGTAAACCCAAGTGGACTCCTGCACAGAGGAGAGAAGGTAGACGTGGGATGTTGCAGCGATATCACCCGTCAAACAACTCACCCTTGAATATTTAGCTTTCACAATATTTTAAGCCCTCAACACTCCATTGTACAACACACAATGTAAAGTAAAATAAATATATTTATAAATTACTATAATTATAAAAATGAGGAGAATTTTTTTAATTTTGCTTTTTAAACCACTGATATTTTCATAAAGAAACACTATTATCTACTAAAAGGAAATAAGGGACAATAAATTAAGTTGTAGTTAGAAAAATTCCCTTTTTTCAGGATACAGTTTATGGTTGGTTTAAAATCTTGATTTTTTTGTCCTAAGACCTAAGTAAAATGCACAACATTTTAGAAATATCAAGCTATCTGCTTAACACTACCAATGGATCACCACCTGAGTAACTTTTTCCTAACTAGTGCCAATTATGCATGTCTCTGGCCCTTGAATTCCCCACTCATTTTTTTTTTTTAAGGCCTGGAATCTTTAGAGGAAAAAAAGCCCAGCAGTTAAGTCCACACATACCCTCTTGTTCGGTCCGAGTCATTTCCTCAAGCTTCTTCTGTTTCAGTGTGTCCACCACATCGGCAAGGCTCCCTTTGCGGCGTTCTGGGGTTCCAAAAGTAACACTGGTCATTATCTCGCGGTCCCGACTCCCTTCGTCAGGCTTATGTGGTGAGGTAGAGGTATTTCGGAAGGAATATAGGGAACATAACTTATTATTCTCTGATTCCTAGAAAAATAAAATAAAATAAAACCGTCAGAATACATGTTTCTTTGCATAACATTAGAGAAAAAAACCCAAACTCAGAAGGATAGTACACAATGCTTAGTAGGACAAATAAAATATATTAATAAAATAAAATAATTAATTTGGTAGGATAAATTAAAAAATACAATTCTTATTAAACAATACTAAACATTAAAGAAGCAATTATCAAAGGAATTAACCTGAACTACAGATTTACACTGTTTCATCATTGTCCTTAAATTTAGAACTAGTAGAAAAGTTAGCTTCAGTATCCAGGGTTCATTGTTTACCAAAAATACATAAATTAACTCAGTGCTGGAAAGTTAGCCAATTTGAATATTTTGTGTCCTAGGGTTTGGGGAAAATTAATGCTATTTTTTTTCTAGCTATGAAACTTATGGAAGCCTCTTTCTATTCTTTACCCATGCCACTGATACTTCAACACATAATAACACATTCTTCATCTGGTATTCTGGTATTTTTTTTTCTTTAACAAAAAGACAAGTTTATTACAGAAACATCTGCACAAGAATTACTTCATAGTACAGAGAAGTAAGCTAACCAGTAAGTGGGTTAGATCTATCAACTGAGGAGGAAAAGTAAATTTTAGGCTGAAAATAACAAATGCTTAAAAGTTTATAGAAAGAAAATGGTTTTTTAAATCTTTTTAAATTTCAGATTAATATGAGGGTACACACAATTAGGTTACATGGTTTGCATTTGTAAGGAAAAGTCTGATTTGTAGTTATTTCCTTCACCTAGGATGCAGGCTATATACCTGTGCATTTTTCTCATTGGGTGGGAATTTGCTGAACCCCTCCCCTTAACCACTATCCTGCCCTCTTGAATTTGAGTTTTTATCTCAAGTGAGCACATAGTTTCTATATCTCTCTACATCAGAACTGAGGGTTAGAAGCAAGTATTATTTGGCTATAACCCTTCGGTGGTCTTGTGGTCGGCGTATCTGTTTGCACAAGGGTATTCCTTCTACCTACAAAAAATATATATAAAGTAAATCATCCAGTTTTTGTGATTATCTTCGGAAGCATGAAAATCCTATTTGGTCCTCCATGTCTCCTTCACAAAGAAGCCTTGCTAGATTCAAGAACTAGAGAAGAAGTATGAGCCAAAAGTTGCAGAGTTAATAACTACTGGGAAAGGATGAGAAAAGGGAAATGCAGTCTAGAGCAAGTTTCCCCATATATTAAATGAGATAAAAATGATACTCAAGAAATGCTAGGCTTAGGCATTTTCATCACATATAAGATGAGCCAAAAATTATTTTCAGGATTATTAGGAGCATATAATGAGATAACATTAGTAAAGCAACTAGGTATGGTGCTGAGCTCACAATACTCAAGTGGTATTTAATAAACGGCAAGTACTACTGTTCTGAAGGAAGAAGTCGATCTCAGACTGGGTCCAAGGAGGTTTGTTCTTCCTTTAGGACCTGAGAAATTGGGAAGTAATAAATGTTCATGAGTCTTGAATTAGATCAAATATGGTGAAACCTATGAACTACATGGTATGCGTCTAATATCTCAATAAAGCTGTTAAAAAATACTGTGAGCTAAATCTTAATCTTTCTGCATTCCCACTCCTAGCACAAATGCTTGAAAGACAGCATGCATTTGTGCTGAAAAAAAAAAAATGGGGCAGGACAGAGAAGAGAGGTCCTCTTTACCTTTCTCCTAGCTCCCTTCCTTCCTCCAGGAAAGATGTTTTCTCTCATTTACTGATAACAATAATTCTGTGGAGTGATTAAAAGGAAATCTTTCCTTTAGATGCCAGCCACCATTAGTATGCAGCTCCTTGGAATGAACACTTGGTTTTCCACTTTGTGCAAACAAAAACTCAGAGATATATTTGCCAAAGCCATTTTGACCTCTTATTAAAGTCCATATTAGACATCTGACAGAGGATCTTATGTTTTATGATATAATATCATCATTTGATCAATCATACTTCATTTACTTTCATTTCAAATGCAAATTATTTTCACATTAACCAAAAAATAATTTTTTAATTAAAAACAAAAAAACTTTACTCAACCCAAGAGATTAAAGAGCAAGTCAAAACAGTAATATGTGAAAGTGGTTACCTAGAAATGACTCATCATTGACTATAATACAGATTTTCCAAATTGAAACTGAAAATGCTGGGAGAGGCTCTCCAGACTAGATAATAAGTTTAGATTGTACTTAGAGCATTTAACTCCACATAGTACCATTTTTTCCTATCAGGGCTAATTTCAAACAGTTTACTCATTGTCACTTACTTATTAAACTATATCCCTTGTTTTAGACTCATGGCACTACGGTCACTACCATCCTGAACCACAGACAATAACCATGGGTTCCTTATTACAATGATGACCCACACTGTCCTCAGCCCCATAGTCTGTGCAATGTAGTTCAATATTACCAAGTAGCAGAACAAGAGGATGAAAAGTTATGACTTCCCCAAATAAGCCACAAGAGCTACTTATAGTATGTCACCAAAGTACAAACATAAGCAATAAATAAAACCATAAGTAGCTTAAGTCATGTAATTCATGTTAAATTGTCCCCTTAAAACAATGAGAAGGAGTATCCCTTACTTTTTAACTTTCTAAAACTTAATAAATACTTGTCTTTCATGAATGGAGGTCTTTAAGCAATTCCTGTAAGTAAAAGGGGCATGTAAATCAATATACTTACAATAGATTACAGTCTGATATGCAGTCAATAACAGCAAATTTAATAAGGAAACATGACAAAATATCTCTTTTCTTTCTTTCTTTCTTTTTTTTTTTTTTTTGCAGTTTTTGGTCAGTGCCAGTTTTGAACCCGCCACCACCAGTATATGGGGTTAGCACCCTACTCCTTTGAGCCACAGGCACTGCCCCAAAGGATCTCATTTTTAAGAGGCTAAATAACTTTTAAGTAAATTTACTTAATAAAAGAAAACCCTCCTTGTTTTATAGTTTTCTCAAAACAAAACATGTCCAGTGACATGAGTTCTCTGTAGATTCTAGTTATCAACTCTTTGTCAGATTGATACCCTGAAAATATCTTTTTCCACTCTAAAGGTTGTCTTTTAGCTTTACTTATTGTGTACTTAGCTGTGCAGAAACTTTTTAGCTTAATTAAGTCCCATGTGTTAATTTTTGTTGTTGTTCTGATGGGTGCTGAAGTCTTTGTCATAAAATCTTTCCCCAGTCCAACATCATCAAGAGTTTTCCTTTTTTGGTCTTTCTTGCGACAATAGCCACTGTATAACATGACTGAACACAAGAACATCATAAAAAGCAGACCACATGGGACACTGAGTTCTTTAACCATTAGTCGATTCAAAGAAATTTATAATAAATTTTTTTCTCTCAACTGGAAATAAACACAGTACATAAAATATATGTAGATGACTGAAAACACACACAGTAGTACAAAAAAGTCATTAAAGTTTCTAGAAAAGGAAAGGCAAATTTTTAAAAATTAAGAATTTTAATTAAGATGTTTGCCAGTATTTGAAGAGATAGGAAGGTAAATGTTAAGAAAAATATTAACATAAACATTGCTCAGATTTTTCAGAAGTTATTTAAAACTGATTGCTCAGCAATGGCATTCAAAGTTCAGATCAAAGTGCATTTCATTCTTAAATCCCTTCCTGACTATACTAGAAAAGTATAGTACAGTTTCCTCACTGTATGCTCCTCCCCAAACTACATATTGAAGTTCTTAATCAAAACCATGCAATTAACATTTAATAATATATTAGGAAAAATTATTTGTTACTATTTTGCATGTAGTAGTCATATCTGTAACTAAATTTTAACTCTTGAAGGACGGGCCATGTTTCACGCTTCTTCTATATGCCTCCAGAACATGTAGCAAAATGGTAAGTCATTTGGGCTGATGAACTTGAAATGACTACTCACCAAGTATGTCAAAAATAATAAAAAAAATTTAGACAAAAGGTAAAGATCTGCTCTAACAATAACAGGATTGTTTAAGCAAAATATTTAGAACTGAGGTGTTTTTTTTTTTTTAAATAAAGGATTAATGACACAGCTACCCAACAGAATACCACACAACCATTAAAAACAATGTTACATCATTTGAAAGCACAGTTTTGTTCATAGTGATTAAGTAAATAAAGGCAATATGCATGCCCACTTGTAGGGATTATTTGAGGGAAGTATGGCTTAATCCATATGATAGAGTAATTTTATATTATTTAAAATCATATGTTTCATAGAAAACTTAATAAATTTATAATGTATTATTGGTAAAAACATGTTAGTGAAAAGACATCAATATAAATTTTAAAAATTGTTTTATTTTTAATCATTATGTACATATGTACAAATATCATATGTATGATATTTTGATACAAGCATACAATATAGAATGATCAAATCTGGGTAACTGGAATGCCATCATTTCCACCAATACATGATTAAAGAAATATGCACACACATATGTGCACATACACACAATGGAGCATTATTTTGCCATAAAAAAAAAAGAATAAAATGCTGTCATTTACAACAATAAGGATAAAACTGGAGGATATTATGTGATGTAAAATAAGCCAGACACATAAAGACAAATGTCACACATTGTCATTCATATGTGGAATCTAAAAATTTGACCTTACAGAGGTAATGAATATAATGGTGGTTACCAGCGGTTGGGAAAGCTAGTGGGAATATAGAGGATAGAGAGGAGTTGGTTGATGGGTACAAAAATACAGGTGGATAAAAGGAATAAGATAATGAAGTGTTTGGTAGTACAATATACACTTTTAAGAAAAATAGGATGTATAGCAGAAAGGAAACCACAATATCCAACAAATCATTATTAGTTATATGAGTACTTGGAAAATAAATTTATTTTCTTTCTGAAGTTCTCTATGTTTTTTAAATATCCCATCATAAATAATATCTTTAATCAGAAAATAAATTTCATCTTCACATTTGAATATGAATGCCAAAAAGGTCA